GCACTCATACAGATCTGGTTGTGCTTTTCAGCAATACAATTACCTCCACGACTTCCGAGAGAACCTGGCTGCCCACCTGGCAACAAAGGACACGGTATCGCGATCGGTATCGCGGTAACCAAGGCTGGCGTGGTGGGTCTTGGTATCCATGGGGCTGTGGCAGACACCAGGATGAGATGCCTCCTTCCTGCCCTTTCCAGTTCCTCATGGGTGTTTCCAGCATGACCCAGCTGTTCACTGCCACATCTGTGTGTGAAATGTTGGGGTGGGGGAAGGAAATCCTACAGGATGTGCAGCATCGCCCTCTCTTTGGCAGGTTTGAATAGTTGCTGCCCTAGAAATACATGGAAGTGTGTGGGTGTTTGATACTGTTCTGTCGTGAGCTTGTTGTCAATATAATAACGACTGTCATGTATCTACCTCACGTTTATCACCTTACTTGGTACTGACAGCTCCTGCCACCGAACTGGTGTGCTCATGTGTTCACTGTGACATCCTATGGGCTGCATCTGTGATATCCCAAGTGGAGGAGAGGCTGGGCTGCCAGAGCAGGGACTGGTTGCATTTTGACTTCTCTGTTCTGTGTAGCATATAAATTGGGATGAGAATTGGAGGTGAAGGCAGGATAGGAGAGGAAACAACCGCCTGCAACTCCTCCCAGTGCTCATAGGCTGGCTTCTGCTCCAGTGGGCAGGAAAAAGAAAAGGGGGAAGAGATGAAAGATAACTCCTTCCCACTGCCTTTCTAAGAGTCACACTGGGATAACAGAGCTAGCTAAAAATTACATTACTGGAGCTCTTTGCAAAAATAAGTAGCTCCAGCTTTAAACCAAAGGGAAGTCAAGTGTGAAAATGTCCCCACGGGTGTGCTCACCCCTCATGAACTGGTGAGAACACATTCTAAAATGTCCCAGCTCTGCTTGGCGTGGCCAGTGGTATTTAGGAATAAGGATGGGGTTTGCTACTGAAGATGTGTGACAGACCAGGTGGGTGGGTGTTGAGAGGAGTACAGTAGGAAAAGACAAGTTGCTGTAGCTGCGTGGGGGAGCTCCTGGCACAGCAGCTGCTCTGCTGACACCGTCAGCTGGGGGCTGGAGAGGATCTCACACCCCCATGCCTGATTATCCACTTGTGAGGACCAGAGGCCTGAAGAAAATGCTTAAAAGAGTTCTGTCCCATTCTGAGGAAGTGATCAGCATCCACTCCAGTGCCCAGGTGTCCCCTGGTGCCCCACGAGGCCAGTTTTGCCTCTGGGTAGGACACCAGTGTCACCCCCTGCACCTTGGGCTTCCAGATAGTCCCACAGAACCAGAGGAACTGTGACCTCTGGGCTGAGGGCACTGTGCAGCTGCATGTCACACCCCCGCTGTCCTGCTGTGTCACCATCTCCTGTTTCCTTGCAGTTAATTCTGTCTGTGCTTTCCCCCCTGCCCCCAAGTGCTTTACAAACCAGCTGGTTACCTGGCTGGTACCTGCCTGGCCAAGGCAGCACTGCTGTCCTGCTCTCAGGGTCACCCTGTGCTCCCCAAAGCTCCAGCCTGCAGTGAGAAAGATATTTCTAGAGTGTTTTTGTCAAGTTTCAGTGACTTTTCAAGTCAGAAGTTGTGACATGGGACCCTGCCACAGCACCCGTGGGTTTGGGTGGAAGAACTCACTGCTTTGCTTGCTTTGAAATTTATGGCCTTAACATCTTGTTTGAAAGCAGACACTAGAATGTTTAAAGGTGATTTCTACAGATGATATTTAATTAGATTTTACTGTCATGCCCTTCCCCACCCATAAGGCAGGCAACAGGAACTCTTCCCAGTTACCACAGCATGGAATTACAGAGAATTTGTTGCTGGAAATGCATTGTTCCTTCCCCAACACTCAAACAGAAACAAAAGCAGTGTCTGTCTGTCTCTCCTTCACTGCTGTATCCCTGCAACTGATGGTTTTCAGGTATTAAGTATGTATCAGGGGGCTTTTGAAGATGACTTAGCAAGAAACTTGCTGACATGGAAAGAAATGTTCTTTTCTCCATTATCTTTTGCCTCATGGGACTCCAAAAATCAATTACCATCAGGTCCCTGTTTTGAATGCAGAATGACTGCTCCTCTGGCTCAGCATCCTACGTGCAGCTCCACACACACCAGCTGCCTTTGCAGGGACCACTCCACTAGAGCCAATGTGAAGCTCCCATTGCTGGGTACAGGTGACAAACTCCACATCCCCTTGCAGCTGGGGGGTGCTGGCAGGCACTAAACTGGTTTTTAAATATAAAAGTGCTGAAACCAGTGTCTGGGCAGCATTCTCTGAAGGACTCAGCTGGGTAGTTGTCACACTTCAACACGCTGCATTCTTGTGGGACATTTTAACTTCTAACCTGCATTTCTGACCTTTCTCTCTGATGTTATGACAGTCTAAAGACCTTTGAAATGAGATTACTTAAACTCTTCCGCCCTGTACTTAACCACAGCAGGCAGTGAGCATTTTTGCTCCTGGGGTTACAGTGGATTCTAGCTCCCCAGTAGAGCTGCAGCAGCGAGCTGCTGTGCTGCTTTCACCTCAGAATTCCTCTGTTAAGGAACACTCACATGCACTGTAAGGTGAGATGGGTAAAGCCTGTCAGCCCCAGGACAGTGCAAGTGCTGCAAATTCTCCTTAAGATCCCTCACTAAAGTGGCTCCACAGCTGGAGGGGGTTCTCAGAAGAATCTGTCAGTTGGACTCAGGAAATCCTGCACTGTTTATTCTGCTGTGTAACTTGGCTTCAATCAGCCCAAGCACCAAAGGAATGAGATTTGTTTAGAAGGCCAAGAGCAGCTAGGGGCTAAGAGCCAGGAAGTCTCATTTCTGTCACAGATTAATACAAATACAAACACACAAAAGGGTTAATTAGTTTTGCTTACACAGGCTGAAGTCATATCTTGCAGCAGTCTCTAAAGGAGCTAGGCAGCAGGCAAATAAAAATGATCCAACAGAAACAATACTCCTGAGTGTCCAAAAAGCCTTTCAAAAAATTATTCTGCTAAAAGCTCGAAATTCTGATTGCATAAAGAAGAAAATCCTCTTTTCAACTAGTAACTGATGGAGATTACAGAGTAGGAGTAAGGAGTTTTGGGTGAGGAGGGCTCCTGCCTTGTCACAGAAAACAAGGGCTGTGAGATAAAGCCTGCAGCTGTTGGAAAGGTTTTGAGACAGTCAGGAAAAAAAATAGGTATGTTTGGTAATGCTGAATGCTTGAGCAGTAAGGGCACAGGAAATGAAGCATCAGTAAATGCAAAGGAACATGTGAGAAAAATTATTTTATATACACAGTAATAAGCTGCCAGGTATCTGTCATGACTAAGAAAAGAAAACCTGAAGTTATCACAGCCTGAATTCTCATATCCCCAGCTCCATGATAAAAAGAGGAGAGGAATTCAGAAGCAGGGATCAGGAACCTGCCACACTGCATCCCCTGGGCATCCACATCTCGTGTGATGACAGGTCTGGTCTCCTCCAGCTTAGGAAAAGAACATTTGTGGAGGCAAAAAAAAGGATAACCATAAAGCTACAAGGACTTCCAACCAAGAAGAGATTAAACAAACTTCTCTACTCTGAGAGATGACATGATGAACATCTATTTAATCACATCCAGCACAAAGAAGGTGAAAAGGAGATAAATTTCAGTACGTCTTAAAAAACAAGAACTTGGGAGCAACAAATGAAGCTCAGCAGAACTTTTAAATACGGTTTCTTACATACTGAGTAATTCCATTGTAGAACTCACTGTCTCAGGGTATCTCGCACACTAGGCTATGAAAATGCTCAAGAAGCAACTAAATTCATGGAAGAAAAGCTCTTCAAGGGCTGTTTCAGATGCCAGATCTCTAGCTCAGGACACCTGTGCCAGGCAGGTTTCCAGACATCCTCCCACTGTTCAGGCAGAACGATTCAATACCTGCCCCGTTCACATTCTTTTTCCTCAGTTGCTGCCACTGCCCAACAACCCAACCCTGGAGGGCTGGGATGTCAGGAGGAAGCCAGGGCAGCCACTCCTATGGCACCCGAGAGACCCCAAGTGAACAAACAAACAGTTTATACAAAAACATTTTACTAGAACTAGGCAACTATTCATTATCCTCCAGCACAAGTAAATGAAAAGGATTCCTAATTATTACTCCTAAATTAAGCAGCTGCTGCAGTAACAACTTACAATGCAGTATTATCAGTTTAGCTGAAATACCTTCCCCTGCCCCATTTATTTATCTGCAGATCCATGTAAAAAAGAAAGCAGGAAAGCAGAGCTTCCCTTTTCCAGACATAACTAGATTCAGTGTTCTGTTTTTAAAAGGAAATGCAATTACCCATCACAGAATCATCATGGAAGGGTCTGGGTTGGAAAAGACCTTAAAGATCATCTAGTTTCAACCCCCCTGCCATGAGCAGGGACACGTCCCACAACAGATGAATAGAGCTGTTCAATCTGTTCAATTTAAAACAAAACAAGGCACCAGGTAAAAATAAGTGTTCCTGAATTGAAGATGTTTTTGTTTTATTATTTATTGCACTAAGGAACAGCAGGGCAGTTTCAAAATCTCACTTTCTGGTTTGAAAAGGTCTCTAGTATTACTCTTTAACTCGAGTATTTTCATCATTGGGCTTGACAGAGGTTGTAGGTTTGTTTGTTTGTTAATAAGACAGCACAGACATTAAAAAAAAATATAAAAATCATAACTTAAATTTACCCTTTTGTGGACAATTCAACTTCTTCCTTCCACGAGGACACATGCTTGAGATTCAAGCCAGGTGAGGATACAGAAATGTCTGACTCATGCACAGACAGGGAAAAATGAACCAGACAGAAAAAATAAAAAACCAAAACTGCTATTTTTGCAATTGTGCCCATGAAGTCATCTATTAAGACCAACATCACCTACAGGGAAAGGCCATGACACGTCCAGTCCTTCCCAAGCCCTCAGCAGCTCCAGCTGGCTTGTGGTTGGAGTGGGACACACGGGTCCAAAGGAGCTGCTAGGAAGCCCAGCCCACAGCAACCCCCTCCTGCGCTAGGGCTTGTCAGCCACAACACCTGCTGGAGATGACAGCTGTTCCTCACGGAGTGCAAAGTCAGAACTTTCCAAAACCCCATCTTTACATCAGCTTACATGTAATTCTTTGATTTCAGTGTCCCAGTAAAAGATAAGAAAACAGTCTTTCCACAAATATAAAATGTGGAAGTGTTTTACAAATAGGGGAGGCGTCGTTTCCTAACGCGAATGCGATCATCAGGTTCCGTAGTTAATCTTGGTAAGAGGTTCTCGTCGTCAAGAATCCATGTTTTGTGGCTTTTGCATGCACTTAACTGGAACAAAGCTTGCTGGATGTCTTCTTAAGAGCTCACCAGAACATAAATCATGCTGGAAAACAAAATACAAATATGAAGATGCACCGCCGTGATTACTGTTCTACAATTAGTTCTACAGTCATGGATTCCAAGGAACCAACCCGTGTGAGGTCCATGGATTGCCCATCCCCAGGGTGTTCAAGTCCAGGCTGGATGGGACTTGGAGCAACCTGGCCTAGTGGGAGATGTCGCTGCCCATGGCAGGGGGTTGGAACTAGATGATCTTTAAGGTCCCTCCCAACCCAAACCAGTCTGGGATCCTCTGACTGTGACTGAAGGTTTAAACAGGACACATCAGAAGGGCATTACTGAGCATGACATGAACTGATGCAACCCCAGTTACTTACTCTAAAAATGTGACTGTTCCTGTTTCTTAATGAAAATGCTGGGGGGGTTATTACAGAATGCTTAGAAAAACAAAAGCTCAGAGCTTTCAAGTCTCCAGTCACACTATACAGATTCAAATTAATAATTCCAAACAAATTAAGACTTGTGTTTTAAAGCAGAATAACTGGTGTTGCAGATTTTTTAATTTTTTTTTTGAAAGGTGGGACTACAGATATTCCCATGTACAAAATTTCTCTTTTACATTGAGCCCAAAATTTCAGACTGAAAATTAGGCAGGAGACAGAGGAAAAACCAAACTTACCCATATAGGTAGTAAAAAAATGATAGAAGGTAGAATGCTAATTTGCACCATCCTTCTTTCTGGCAATAGGCTAAAATATCTGCATTCATGATGGTTGTAGGATCATACAGACCAGGGCCACTCATCACAGGTCTACTCATGTACCTGAAAGTGATGCACAGGGAAGTTTTGTGGTGACAGCAAAACTGGTTCCTGCCCCCACCCACCAAGTAACTCCAGAGCCAAGTCAAGGAATCAGGAATCACACCCCTGACAGCAGAGTCCATCTGCTCCCTGCAGGAGGTGATGAGCTGCAAGAGCTTCCACAGATGCTGTCACAACAGCTCACCTCGGCCTTAAAGCCCATACACCAACAGGAAATGGGACAAAGTTATAAATAAATGAAAAATGGGATTCCTTACCAAAGGGTTGGAAAAGCTGGAGAAGAGCCCAGCCTACAACCCCACGTAACCTGCAGCGTCTCACATCAATGCTGGCTGCCCTGCTGCAGGAACACTCACACAGGCCAACACAAAATGATCCTAAAATTGCAGTTTAACACCGGCCACTGGCTGAAAGAAAGTCCTGCCTTCAGCCCTCGGATTCCTCCTCATGCCAGGACCAGCACAGCCACTCAGGGACAGCTGTTCTGCTGGGGTAAATTCCAGCCGGAACAGCTCCCTCCTGTGGCTCCCTGCACAGGACTAGCACCGGCACACGGAGAGGTGGAGCCCACATCTCAGTGGCTGGAGGAAAGAGGAATTGCCACTTCTGCTGGCAACCCACTCCATAAACCCGCAGCGTTGGTCACCTCTGACATGTCAGCTCCCTTGAGTGCACACACAGCTCGATTCTTGCACAGCACAAGACAATAAAAAATAAAAATGACAGGAGAAAGCAAAACGATGGCTCCTGTGTTCTAGCCATGAGGTGAACTTTCTCCTTGTCATCTCAGAAAGCATCTTTAGTTGCCAAAGACAGGACATTTCACAGGAAGCACTGAAACACGAGAATGAGCAACGGTTAAGGTGAGTACAGAGACACCAGACTCATCAAATATTACCTCCAAATATGATAAGCCAACAAAGGCATATTGAGACCCAGTGTAAGCCACTCTGCTGCACAGAGAAACATAACACAGAAGAATGCATGGATGAGGTACTCTGGAAGCACAAGCTGGAAAAGAAAAACAGGAGTTAGAGGTTTTGATTACCCAGAGCAAAAGGTGTGGTGTTTAATCTATGCTGGAGGTAAACTATTGTTCAAAAAACCAATAATTTTGGATCTTTTTAGCTATTACTAAAAATGACACTAACAAGACTGCAGAAAGTGAAAGCAGCAGTACATGCCTTGCTGTTTTCACATGATATTCATGAACCAAGAAGAAAAATGCTCAGATCAATAGGGTTTTTTTACTGCTTCTATGAAATGAGGTGTGCTGCTAACAGATCCCACGCTTCATACACGACCTTCATCACAGGAGAGATCACGAAGGTGTTTCTGCTCATGCAACAGAGAAATACCAGCAGGAAACATGCTCCATATGAGGGTTGAGAGGCAAAAAGATGGTTTGTGTTTTCCTATTTCACAGCTTTGTTTTGTTATTCACACATACACCGTTTTTCAGACTCAGTTGCCAAAATGCAACAGCATCAAGGCAGAGCTTTCTCAAACCCACTGAACAGTGAGGCTGTTGGGCACAGGGGTCTGCACAGCCCTGGGGGGCAAGGCAGCACCAGCCAGCTCCCTTCCCCTTGCCCAGTCCCTGCTGTGCATGCTTCAGAGCACCATGCTGTCCAGCAGAACCCACAGAGCTCATTTTCAGTTGACTAGGGAGTCACAGAGAGCGTGAAATGGCAGGTAATATTAGTGTTATGAATGGGAATAATATGGAGAGACAGTGGGTTAAATGCATGCAAAGAGCCAGCAAAACCTCACAGCTGCCACAGGAGTAACACTTCCTAAAACTAGCCAGCCTAAAGTGACACCATTTACTCCTTTACCACACCATTCAGGAAGAAGCAAATCTATAAGCTTTTCACTTCACAACTCAGGGCCACTCTAACATCTCATGAAAAATGCTCCATTTCTGCCTAAAGATTTCAACTGTCAAGGTATATGTGCACACACAGCACACCCTGCCCCTCTTCCTTGTGTGACAAGGCTAAGGTTGCATGGGATGACTACACTGAAGGGTCAGTGGTTTAAAATGTCTTCCCAGAAATCTAAAAACTACCAACAGACATTCTCCCCACCTGCTTTGCTGTAACATTCTGCTTCTCTAAATGAAGCCTGTCAAACAAAGCAAATTTGCATCCACATCAACAAAAAGAATCTGTCATACATGAAGTGTTTCAAATAAATATTTTTGCCCAGATCCTTCTTTGTGTACTTACCATTTACAACTTGGTAATTATTTATAGAAGAACAACAACCCTATCAAACACACAATGCATTTGGCAGCCTCCTGAGACAGATTTACCAGCTCTGAAAATCTGTAGTTTATTTAACTATGCATCTCAAAACACATTTTTCTTTATCTTGTTTGTTACACGAGACTCCCACACCAGAATACCTGTCTTTCTCAAATCTACCACTCTTAATCCTCCAGGGCTGGCTAAGAAAAATGAAATACATCAGATTCTACCATGGTATTTATCAGAGAAGTGAGGGAGGAAGAAATGCCATTGCTGAGAAGAGACACTGCTATAATAGGAGCAGGGAAGAGAAGGCATCAACTATGTACTAAGCAGTTACTATTTCTGGCTAATCTTTCTACTGAGGTGTCTCAGTTCCTACAAGAATTTCTCATCTTGCTTCTGTATGTTTGTGCAGCATCCTTTACCAGATCCCCTCAAGAGTCTGGCTCTTCACTTTTAGCATCTAATCTACTTCCACAAGAACAGCAAATACTGTTATTTTCAATTCACAGAGCTGCCATGTAATAAACACTCCATGCATGTAGGTTAACAGCAGGTTAATACTTGTGGCAAACATGCGTGTTGTAACACTGCAGAGGCCGCGATCAGATCACAATGCAGAAACATCATGAGGATTTGCCCCCAAACCGCAGCAGGAATGACTGTGGGACAAGCCAAGCAAGGGAAACTGTTAGGTGCACAGCTATCTGAGCAGGACACCTCCCTCTCTGAGATGGTATCCTCTGGCCTCTCCTCCTCCCCACCCCTGGTCACGCTGTAGGTCTCCCCATCATCCCTGCCTAACACGCATGTCCCTCCCCTCCCCAGACCCTGCCAATTCATTTTTCATTTGAAAAATTGACTTCACTCTTCACCACACAATAAAGCTACAGGCCAGGCTGCACTGCTCTGTTGCCATTCTACCTCAGCCTGGGCACACCAAGGCAAAGAACTATGAGACATGCACAAAAAAACCTGCTATATCCAACTATCTGCTCTTTAATAAGCATCCCTTTTAATGCTGGCCTGTTAGAAATACAAATAAATATTTGTCTCCAAGTCTTTTCACAAACCAAGGAGTGTCAGAGTTGCATCCAAGAGAGGACACCAAGATACACCCCCTGATCCTGGAACATAAAACAAAAAGGTAAGATAATGCCTATCACACTCTGCCCACCTAAATCCTTAAGCAAGATCAGAATTTACCTGCTCAATGCTAAAACGAACAACTGGCCTCCCAAAATCTCAAGAGTTCAATCAATCTTGCTTGCAAAGTGCTCTTGATTTGTACCTGAAGTGACTTCAGCTCGGCCACAGGACATATAGACCAGGCATTTAACAGTTTTCCCCACTTCACTGGGTAAGCAAGCAGGATTGTTTGGCACAGAAGATGGAAACCCATGAAGTCATGACCAACCCCAACGAACAAATAATGAGCAGATGAACAGGCACACTAAACAAAAAAAAGCTTAATAGTATTACAAATGTTCCTAACAAAATGGAAGGGAAGTGGCATTGAAAGCATTCAACTGAAAAGCTGTACACACCTTTAATGCAATTTTGACTCTTTTAATCTTTTTGACCTTTTCAACTGTCTTTGGGCCGAAAATGCAGAAAGCAGATTGAAAGAATGTTAGTATGACAGCTGACAAGATCACCAGCAGATTAATAACAGTCAGAATATTCAAGTTGAAAGTAAAGAATTAGGCAAATGATTTTTCCCTAGAACTTCTACTGCACAGCTAGGTTTTGTCCAGATGCAATTCCACTGCCTAGTTTGGGTATACCAAGGTAACATCAAATCCAAGCACTTTATGTATATTTATTACAATTTTAAAAGATGTTTAGCATGCAACTTACAGGATTGAGTGTGTTACATTGGTCTATAGGGTTCTTGTAATCGGTCTTCAGCTCATCAAATGCTATAATCTAGGAAAAAAATGAAACAGTTGTGATCCTTCAAGCCCAGGAACAACAATGATTTTGATCCATGAAAATCAAATTTTGCTACAGAGCCACAAGGTTCAAGGAATATAATTTCTCCATTCTAACCACACAAACCCACAGGTAAAACACCATTGCAGCAGGTTAGAGAAACAAGGAGGCAGAAGATATTTCAGTTCATAAACCTCTGCCTTTTTACCTCCCCACCAACAACCTCCAACATCCCTCTTTCAGCAGTTTTTAACCCAGCTCACCATGCACAGACTACAAACGTTGTGAGTCTTGTCAGCAGGAATGCTGACCCTGCATATATGTCCAAAAAGTGCATTAAAAACCCCCAAAAACTACCTGTACGTGGCCTTTTCATGCCACAAAGTCAAAGATGCAGAATGAGATACAACAAAAGCCACACCTACATGACAAATATGATACCAAACATTATAAAAGTCTTAAGACAGACTGACTTATCATCAGTGTAAGATTCATTTATATACATATAAGCCCTGATGTGCTTAGAGGACAGGGCTGATATTATGATATAACAGGTTTTATTAAGGATAGCTACAAAGCTTGAAATAGCGCCAAGAAAAACATCCTCCTCCACCCTCTCCCAAAGCAGCATCTCCCAGCTGACCCAGAGCAGGTTCCTGGCTCTCCCTGGGCCAGGTTCATGACAAAAAACCCCAACAAAGACTGCCAGATTTCCAGCTCCTACAAGGGTGGGGAGCAGATGTGGTAGCTCAGTTTTCACTGCAGGGGATGCCTGTGGGCATCTCATCAGCCTGTGGGCAGGGAGGAGGGATGGCAACTCCTGGAGCCTGCAGGGAGGAGGGAGGGCAGCTCCTGGAGCCTGCAGGGAGGAGGGAGGGCAACTCCTGGAGCCTGTGGGCAGGGAGGAGGGAGGGAA